AGCTTTCATAGTTAGGTGAACTTTTGTCTGACCTACAACTGTCCAATTTATTTACTACTTAAACATTAGCCTTCAGTAGTGATTTATGTAGAATACAAATTAAAAAAAGAAAGAAAATAATTGAAGCTACAGTTTGTGGGTACTGATACTGCTTATTGTGATCTTGGCATGTATTTTTTTGCTAGCAAAATGCTGAAAGATTTGTACCACTTGAATAATCTACCATCTTTTTTGCTTTAATTTGTATAAACACAATATATACAGCAGAAACAGCTGATTTCTAGAGATTTATGCATTGCCATAGAATGAGATTATAAGTAATGCATAAATCCAGGGGGATATTTTAACACTTCTTTTTGGTGTAGAATCTTCAGGTAACCATCTCAGCAAAAATGCTTAAGCAAGTTCAGTTACAATATACTAGAATTACTGTTCTGGTTATTTCTTTACATCCGACTGTACAGAAACTTGCATTGTAACATTGTCTTGATATTCACAAACATTAACTGTGAATTACCTTTATCATTGTGTGAATTAGAAGGGCACTGCCTTGTGCTCTGGAATGCTTCTAAGGCTTGTTCCATTGAGATTTTAGCACATACTGGTTTGTAATTGGAAACACTACTTTCATTCACAGTCACGAGATGCTCTAATCACTTTTAAACACTTTTTTTTTCACATGGTGGTTATCTTTTGGGGGTTTATTGGTAGTTACTTCTCTTGTGCCCAGATAATAAAGGAGTTAAAATGTTTAAGCATCTTTTGTGTTTACAGTTGATGATTACCTAGAATTCAAGATGACTGACCATTCTGTGTGTTGGCATTTGAATGTAAACTTCGGGAATACACTGGGAAGGTTTACCAGCTCTGGGATAAGATTACTCAGTGTGAGGTGGAGGGAAGTGTTGGGAAACCCCATCTGCCACCTAACACCATGCAGCCACTTGGTCACTCCCTGCCCTGCTCCCCAGTGGGATGAGGAGGAGAACTCAGGGGAAAAAAAATCGCAGGTTGAGATAAGAATAGTTTAATAATTGAAGTTAAAGTAGACTACAATAATAACAGGAAAAAGAGGGGAAGGAATAAACTACCTTCTCCAGGGGGAGAGGGAGGGAGAACAAAAAGACCCCAAGAAAACCAAAAAATGACAAACCAAAACAAACAGAAACCCACCAAAAACAAAACCTCCAACAAAACAAACAAAACTAAAAAACCACAAAACAAAACCACAAACAATAAAAGCCCCCAAAACAGCAGTGATGCACAATACAGCGTTAAGTAAATGGAAATAAATTAAAATAGAATCTTTTGCATAGGAGGAATTTTAGCTTGTCAGGAAACAGGTCTATAGGTGGGATAGACTTTATTATGTCTTTAACAATAAAAGGAAGATCACACTTGTTGGTTTAGTATCATATTAAAATATGCTGTGTACAAGCCTCCCCCTTGGGGCTTTTCCTGTCCTTTAAAATGCTTTCTTCAGAAGTATTATTTACCTCTTCTTTGAAAAGCAGTCCTACAGTTAACTCTGAGCACTTCAGAAACTTGTATTTGAAATCTGCTGCTTGTGTTTTGGACCAGAAGAAGGGCATGTGTGCCTGAAGCTTGTTTCTTTATTTTCCTACCTGTTTCTCTTCCCCTACACTGGATGAAGTTGTTTGATAGGATTTGTCTGCAACACTGCCTTGTCTGACCATCAGACTACTGCTAGAGAAAGTAACGGTGCAAAAAAGTGAAAAATCTGAAAGTCATGGTAGTGTGAACTGACAGGTACCATTTGAAAGATGCAGACATTCAAATTAACACATTTGGGAATGTGACAAGAAGATGGCTGGTTTTGTAAAGGATGTGGTCTCTAATTCTCTTGGGTTGCTGCCTGCATAACAAAATAGCCACCAGTTTGGAGCAGTGTTGGCAGGCAGCTGCATCTGTTCCTTGGCCTGTAGAGATAATCTGTGCAATTTAAGAAGACTTTACCCTTCCTGTGTTTAATGTATGAATGGATACTGCTATTGGGATTTAACATTACATTTTTATTTCTTCACAGATTTGCAAAAAGCTTATGCTGTAACAGAGTATTTGCACAGCATGTTACAAACTGCTTAGCACAAACTCTTGAGAAGGGTATATAGTGCATGTACCTTACACAGGTAATTTTTGTTTGCAGCAGAGACAGAAAAAAGTAATTTCTAATTCCAGATGTTTCCTCCTTAGTTTTTGCTGCCTTTGCTAAATGTATTTCAAAATATGGACTGAAAAACTTGCATCCAAATATTCTGTGCTAAATATAACTTGTGCCCAACTAACCTGTATGCAACATCCCTAATACAGTGTTAAATTCATTCAAAGCAAACAAAAAAAGTTAAAGAAATGTAGGGTTGTGTCAGGGCAGGTAAATGAAACTTACGGACATGGACTGATTGTGTCTGTGATCTTTTCTTTCCCCTGTACATGTGAACACCCTCTGTCATGGTTTAAGCCCAGCCAGTAACTCGGAACCATGCAGCTTCTCACTTGCTCCCTGTCTTCTTCCTCCCTCCTCTCCCAGAGGAATGGGGAGGAGAATCAAAAGAATGTAGCTCCCATGAGTTCCAATAAGAACAGTCCAGTAACTAAGGTACAGCACAAACCACTACTGCTACCACCAATAGTAATAATGGAAAGGGAAATAACAAGGGAAGAAAATATAGAACTAAAAGGAAAAGAAACCAAGAAAGACAAGTGATGAACAATACAATTGCTGGCCAATATCCAGCTGAACGTGAGCAGCGATCTAGGCCTTGTGGATAACTCCTTGCATGTGAGAAGGCCAGCAGAAACCTGTAATGGGGAAATAAGCCGAACACTCCTGCCCGCCCCTGTGGAATTAGCATGTAAAGTTTAGATATCTGGCACTGTGGCAAATGTTTAAGAAATAGTAAACTGCAACAGTTTGTCCAGCTAATTACACAAGCCTGGTTCTCTTTTGGTGAAAACAAAAACAGGACATCAGGTGCAGCTACTGAAAAGTTTCCCAGAGTTTTGCAATCTTCTTTTTCTGAATAAAAACCAGGAAGCATGTAGAGGGAAAAGCATCTCTAAGAAGTTGTGCTCCTGAAGATTTCACCTCCGCTTTCCAGAGAAAGTAATGGCGTATTGGTTTCTACTTGTTTATTGAGAGGAGCAGGTTTCAGTTTTTTGGGCTGCATCTGTCTCCCTCTGAGATTAGAGCAAGGTAGAAGCAAGCTTCCTTTTCATCTAAGATTCTGGGAGGGAAATGCTGATGCTTGGCTTTATCTTCAGATCACCAAGCTGAGAAGAACTGGTGGATGTTTAACATCTTACTGTGTTCGTCTACATGCTGCCAGCTGCCCATTCCTGGAAAAAGGGAGGTTCTCATGAAAGGAGTTCTGCAAAATAGGAGTAGCTTTAGGTTTTGATAATTTCTAGTCAATGTGGAGGTTAGACTAGTGAAGGTACAGAGGTGTCTTCCTTCAAAGGAAGGATGTAGGTGGGAATTACAGCCTTCAAGAACCACCTAATTAGGACATAACAAATTAATGTATTACACTGCAGTAGTGAAAACTACACCTGTCATATGCAAGATTAATGGCATGTTAATTTAAACGGCCACTTTGTTGTCCTTCAGCATCATCTGAACTGCGGAAATACTTGGTTTTGCTTTAAGTGAAAGCAAAAGGCAAATATATTAAAAGGATAAGAGAAAGAAGTATTCCTGTCATGGGAGCAAAGAGTGAGGAATATCCCAACCTAATCTGAAGCAGCATGAACTGCCTGTGAGAACATATTACTCTGATTATACAGACTTCAAAAAATCCAAGGTGCTTACACAGGCTTTTCTAAGAGAGTGTTTCAAGTGTCGAGTACAGTTTTGTGTTGGTGCCAGCCACTTTGTGAGTGTGCTATAAACGCTGACCAGCAGATCTGAAAATAAATCTAGCCTTCCTGGAAGTCACACTTGAAAATATGTCCCTTTTCAAAAAAAGTAAACTTATCTGAAGGTCTGATAATGTCTGTCTATGACAGGATAAAGCTGCTTTCCCATCCTTGTACAGTGTCCTCATCTAGTTTACTGTGTCTGAAATAAGTGAGTATAAATCCATATTTAATAACGGGCACATTAGTAAAGCTCCTTGTTTGTAAAACTGAGTGTATTATGAAAATATGAAGACTTCACTAAAACAGAGGTACCACAAGAGGGTGCCATTACTGTGATGTTCATAGCTATCACACTGTCAATAGTTCCAACGAGTCACTCGGTCTGAAGAGATGCTTAGCCTCTGAAAGTGGAGGGTGTTAATTAGCCAGACATACCTGTCTCTTGCACTTAGCTTTGCCTCTGAGCCTTTAGTTTGCACCTTGGCTCTCAGAATGAACAGACTTGGAACTGAGAACAAGTATTTTTTTAATGCTGCTGTATGTATGGCAGTGGACTGAAACTGTAGCTGCCTGGTATTCTCTCTCCAGGTCACAACCAACCAGGGACAGACCATTTCTGTGCATGCATTAATATCTGTGTTTCACAAATTGGTATCTAAAAATGTCCACTTTCTACCAGAGAGTTCCTGTTTATTGCACTGATCTAGGGACGGTAGTTTGGTAAACCACAAAGCCCTCACTACTCATACATAATGAGAACCAAGGCATTTTTCAACTAGTTTTTCAGGTAAAAATTATACCAAGCATGCTCTGAAACATGAACTTTGCTTTGAAAGGAGTTCATCCATCATCCTAGAAATGACAAATAAATCGTATGACGCACTAAAAATAATCCATCTGTAGCAGCACGTAAGGGTGACTCCAGATGTGACTCAAATCTTCTTACTGAAACCCTCTGCAGCTTTCATTAAGTTACATTAAAAAGACACCTCCATTGTAACAGGGTATAAAGAACTTGTTAAAAATACATTGGTAGTAAAAAAGGATTTTAATCTTGTATTTTGTGAGTTATGTAGCTGGTTGGATATATGGAATCTTCTGATCACAAAAAAAATGAGAACGTCTATTAGAAATAGTTTAATCTTAAGATTTAAAGCAGTTGTATGAACATCTGTCTGTAAGTATACATTCGACTGGACACACGCTGACGTGGAAAATTAAAGCACACCAGAAAAGGGAAATGAAGGAGAAGGTCCAACACTGGAAGACCAAATCACCTTTTCTAAAAGAAGGAAATATCTATCACAGTATCTTAGATCACTGGCTGACTGACTACTGCACTTCATCAATGGGTATGCTTTGTACATGAAAGATGCAACTTCAGATCCAGTATGATGCTCCTTACTCTTTATTTCTAAAGCTTCCCATATAATTACATTTTGGGTATCACCTCACTGCCACTGCCTGTTCCACACGTTTGTTCAGCTTGATGTTAAATGCATACAGTAAAAGTTCTCAAAAGCTCTGATGACATCACTGGTGACCTGGTGAGGTTAGCAAGGACACACACAGAGGAGCTACCACCTGTCAAAAATCTGGCAGTAAGACAAAGGTAGCGTCTGGCATGGAACTTCATCATGCATGTTTCTGTCTCTTGCAGAAAAATTAACACATTGTTTCTAACAAAACCGTAAATTATTTCCTCACTTACTAGCAGATGTGCCCGTCTCCCTGTTTGACGGAGTAAAATCAAAATGAAGAAAACAAATCATCAGGTGCAACCCTTGGCAAGACTTTCAAAAGCAGGCTCTTCCTCAAACGAGGGTTTTAACTTCACATGGCAAAGGGCTTAGAGCTGCGGTTTTGAAAATTTCATCTTACATGTCTTCTATGGAGCTGTGATGAACAGCAATAAACCAGTTCTTGATACAGTAATCCATGCAGGTATCAGGAAAGATTTGTTGTTTTGATTCAATAATCAATTTAATAATTAAAATATGGTTTCATAGCTTTAGGGGAATTTCTGCACCTGTAATTCAGAAAACTCCTTCAGAAAAGCTTCATCCTGAAAAAATGGCACGCTCAATCTCTAGCACCACTTCAGGGAGAGATTTTTCTAGACTGACAGTGATGAAGTTTTCTGGTGGATGAAGAGGCTCCAGAGTATCAAACTGAGACTTGAGAAGTTCAGGTGGCATAAAATGTCCTCTCCGTTTCTCCAGGCGGCCAGCAATGGTGTCTACAGGACCATCTAAATGAACAAAGAGGATCCGCAGTGCTGGGTTTTCTCTTGGTTGCTCTGGGTGGTTGCTTTCAATTGCAGATACTCCACTAACCAATATATGCCTATACATCTTCTTCAGTGCAGAACAGGCCAGAACTGCATCTTGTCTGGATAACTGTTCTCTATCAAAAAGAAAAAATAGATAAATACATCCACATGTGGTATAACAAAACAGCTCATTAGTTCTGCTGACCAAGGGAGATGAGCCCTGCAGCCTTGCAGAGGACAGCCTCGGGACTAGTAGCATTCTTTTAATGTAACTTTGTCAGGATATTGAAACTGAATTTCCAGTGTAGGTAAAGACCTGATTTGAAAGTTAGGTCAGGCTCGCCAGCCCCCTGGTAGAACCTCAGTCTTGGGGACCTTCTTCATTAAGAGCAGCAACTGAATATCAATGCAAACTCCCATCCATTTTCTATAAAATAACTATTACAATCTGTCCAGAGAGTAAATGGCTGGTAAACAGTATAGAGCTCTGCTCTTACACACATCTGGAGGTATACTTCCAATACCTGTCTTCAGATTTAACCTGTTCTCAGATTTAACTGTAATATGTTTCCTGTAACCACGCTCATTGACATCACTGCATATATGCCCACTTCAAGTTAAACAAGGGATTGGGTGCAGGTAAATTAATGCCTTGCATATGTGCCTTTTGCTGGCAAAGTTTCTTAAAAGCAAGCACTAAACCATGGGTATGTTTGTTCCACTGAAAAGCAAATCCAGAACTAGCTGTCTCTATGAAGAGTGACTCAAGTGCCTGCCTAAAAAACCAAATTCTGTAATCAAGTTAAAATTTGGTATAAACCTGTATAAAAATCATGTTATGTTCATTTGTCCTGGGTTCAGCAGTAGCAGTCATGTTTCTCCTTTGTGGTAGCTGGTGCAGTGCTGTGTTTTGACTTCCAGCCTGGGAACAATGTTGGTGAAACCGATGTTTTCGGTTGTTGCTAAGTGATGTTTACCCTGACCAAGGACTTTGTGAGGCTCATGCTCTGCCAGAGAGGAGGGGAAGCTGTGAGGAAGCAGAGACGGGGCGCCTGACCCGGGCTAGCCAAGGAGGTATTCCATACCACAGCACGTCATGGCTGGGGTGGGGGGTGACTGGGAGTTACCTGGAAGGACACGGGCTTCTGGGTTGTACTGGTTTCTTGGCCAGTGGCATTGTATTCTCTTCCTTTGTTATTTTCTCTTATCGTTGTTGTCGCTGGTGGTAGCGGTGGTGATTTGTGTTCTACACTGGCTGCTGGACTGTTCTTGTCTCAACCCGTGGGAGTTGCACTCTTTTGATCCTCCTCCCCGTTCCTCCGGGAGCGGGGAACGGGAGAGACCCGGGGAAGGGGGGCCCTCGATTGCTCTCAGCCCAGCACCACTCACTGGGAGTGAGCGAACAAGCTGTCTGGCTAAGGTTTAAACCACGACATCATTGTATTTTGGTTCACAGGGAAACAAGAATTTAAAATACCTACTGTTACCACCTAGGTGAGGCAATGCCAGCCTCAGCTACTTAGAAGTACTTGTAATTAAACACTGGCATTAGGTTCTTTTGAAGTATACTTGATTTTGCGAGTTTCTGAAGTTGGGCAGTGGCCTTGGGCTAGCAGGTGTCCTGGGTTCAGCCAAGTACGACATCACGTAACATAAAGCAATGGATCCAGCATAACAACCCAAATTTCTCAGTGAGTTAACCCATGCTCTTATGCAGGACACTCACCTGATGCGCACAAGCAACAGCCACTGCGTAAAGCCAGGCTGAAGAGTATCTGCTCACCCAGCCTTTCGCCATCCAGGAGATGCTCCAGTCTGTTCATGATCTACACGGCCCTTTGTTGGATGCTCTCCAGTATGCCTGTATCTCTTACTACAATGAGGAGCCCAGAAACAGACACAGCACTCCAGGTGTGGCCTCACCATTGCTGATGAAAGGGGAAGTTTCACCTCTCTTGACCTGCTGGCAATACTTTGCATAATGCAGCCCAGGGTAGTGCTGACCTGCCTTGCCAAAGGAGCACACTGCTAGCTCATTTTCAGCTTGAATGGCCACTATGGTGCCCCCAGGTCCTTTTCTGCAAAGTGGCTTTCCAGCCAGGTGCCCTCCAGTGTCTGTACTGGTGCCCAGGGGCAGGAATTTGCACTTCTTAGACTGCACAAGGTTCCAAACTACAGCCTGTCAAAGGTCACTCTGGATCAGCCACTCCTCCCAGTTTGGTGTCATCTGCAGACTTGCTGAGGGAATGCTCTGTCCCATCACGCCCATCATTAATGAGGATGCTAAAAAGGGTTGGACCCCTGGGGTACACTGTAAGTGACTGGCCTCCAGCTAGACTTTGTGCCACTGATCACCACCCTCTGGCCCTGACTGTTCAGTTTTCATCCTCATCCAGTCCTTATTTCCATCAGCTTCTCAATGAGGATCCTATGACAGATGGTGTCAAACAAATCTGACACAGTATCTTATTTGAAATAACAGTAGTTTACAAAATTTTATCCTACTGGCATTGTTGGTGTATTCTGATCCTTTGTAAGAATCTAATGTCAGGCTTACTACTGAACTGGATACTTGAAATTATTTTTCACATACAGTGGAAAAAAACACTATCACTGGCAACAATTTTTCCAACACTATTATTCAGGGATTATCCCACCCTCAGAAACTACTATGACATCTTAAGATTACCGAAAATAGAATGGCCTTACTACCTGCAGAATGTGTTTACAGTACTACACACATTTCTGCTTTGGAACGCAATGGGGAAGAATACTTGTGGTACTTTTTTTGCCTGTAGCCCAATGTCCTTAAAGCTAGATGTTCTCTTACCTCCTTAGTATATCATGCAATGCACAAAGCCAGGGAATCCTGTCCTAGAAAGAAAACAAATTGGTTTGAAGTTATTTATGAAATTGATTTGCAACAATTGCTTCTCACACCTATAGCATCTGACTCGAGACAAACATTAGCCTAAAACTGTATGGCAAGTTAAATTTTGTTTCTCTTTTCTTCCTAATGTAGATTTGCTACCACTGCCTAAAGGCCAATGAGAACTGCTAGGCATATTATCAATAGAGTATATTTAGTGGAATAGTACTTCTTATATTACAGATACCTACAAGTATCTGATGGAAGTAATATGTATTCAGGTACAGCATGCACCTTGTGAGCCTTTGAAGGACAGTCAACTTCTTTCCTGCTTCTATTACACAATTCAAATGTACAGCCTAAATTGTTCTTTTTCCTTATAATGCTTTGGATCAAAGTTCAGGTTTTCAGGAACAGAGAGATCTAAATTTACTTACCTGCAAGCACTTACCATTTTTATGTCAACAGCAATGACAAATAAATGTAATCATAGCCACAATTTTGCAACACTTTTGCTCAGTAGTTACGCAAACACAATGCAAGTGATTGATCAGCTTCTCATTATAATCTTGCTTTAAATTTTAAGGTCCCCCAAACTTCTGTGATACCTACTGAGCACTAAACAACTGTTCCCATTTCATCTTTCAATGCTGTTACTGCTGGGTGAGCACAAGTGGTAACATGGACAAATAAATGCAACCATTTCGTGTTAGTACAGAGTAACTCCACTGGCATTCCAGGTGGCCCTCCCAGTTTTGCATCTCTAGTGTTTGAGAAGCCATGTTTCCCTCTTGCTGGGCACCATACACCTATGGATTAGTAGTTCAACTGTGCAATGTTGCTTTAGACAAGATACTGGCTTATATGTACTTCTAACCACTAGTGAACGATTAGATTTTTTTAACAAGAATCAGAAGTGGTTTTTTTTCAGCCTATAGAGTGCTCTACAGGACTTCCTAATTCAGCTTTATGTTTCCCGACATTTCCCAAGGAAAGTTCAAGAGGTGTCATCTCGTAACTTTTCTAATTTACTCAAGTCTCTGAATTCCTAAGTATTGAAAAACTAAACTTGATAGTTTTGCACGTTTAGGATGAACAACAGGCTGAAGGGAAGGAAGCACATGTCAAGTAGCAGCTTGTAAAACAGAAGGCTGTTGAGTACTCACTGCAGTAACTGAAATTGATGACGTACTTCAGTAGAGATATCTGTCTTCATCTATTTAACTCAAGGAAACAGAACGTAACCTAAAGCTGCAGTTCTGCATATTGATGTAGAGGGAGAGATTTCTGACACATCCAGTACCAGCAGCAAACTCCTGGCAAGCTACCAAGCACACCCTGACTTTTTGATGCAGAATACTTTGCAAGCTTTTTGATGCAGAATACTTTGTAACTCAAGAAGCCTCCCTCTCTCACCAACTGCAGACATACGAACTCAGCTTGTGTTTACAGCCAGCCAAGCCTACATGAAGCACAACCTGATTTAACGTGAGGTGCCTGAGGTTGCAAAGGTAAATATGCCGATGATGGTTCTTTCAAGGTTTGTACATCGTACCTCATCATTTAGTGCTATCCCTTCTGCCATCTTCTTTTTATTCTCTGTAGAATGATAATCGTCTGCATCATAGAATTTCCACCCCAGCTACGAGAACATAAAGAGGGATCATTCAGCCAAGCCAGCTGAGCTAACAAGGACCCAGGATTTACAAAGATAACACCTTGGCAGTTACAGGCCTGTTACACCACGGCATGAATCACCACTTATGTCATGGTGCTCAGGAAAAGGGACGACTTCCGCCACGCAACACCACCACCTGCGGGCGAGCCCAGCCCGGCCTGAGGCAGCGTCCCACCGAGCAGAACCGAGCTGGGCCGAGCCGCGCAGGGGATAAAGACAGGGCGGGTGTGTGCGCTTCCCTTCGAGCGACGCTGACAGAGGCGCACACCGGCGGCGTGGCGCCGCCGTACCTTCGCTGCCAGCCGCGACCCAACCGTGGTCCTGCGGGGAAGCACAAAGACTCGGTCAGAGCTGCCCCCGGGGCCGAGCGCAAAACCTCGGCACGGACAGGCCGGAGCCTCAGCACCACCCCCCTCCGCCGCCTGCCCGATACCTACTTCCCCGCGCCGCTCACGCCCATCACTACCACCAGCACCATGGCGAGCCCGACCGCCCCTCCCCGCCCCGCCCCGCCCCGTTCCGTTCCTCTCCCGCGGGAGGCGGGAGCAGCGGGGAGGCCCGTCCCGGGGCATCTCCTCCTGCCGCGGGAGCGCCACCGCGCGTGGCGTCGGTAGCTTCTGCTTCCCTTTTCCGGGCGCCGGCCGTAGGCGTGTGTCCGCCTCTCTCGTATCCCGCGGTCGGTCCCTGTGCTGGGGTTCCACGGTCTTCCGCTGCTCCCCCCCCCCCGCCGCTCTGTCTGCGGCTTTTCTGCCCGGCCTGGCGCTTCTTCCCCAGTGCTCCCCAGAGCCGTGCCGAGTTTGCAGCCTCGGCAACACACACCCACTAACAGGAATAACAGCCTCCGCCGTGCGTGTTGAACAGTGCCTTGGACGCTGTTGTTTTATTCTCTGCCTTTAAAATGTGATCAACCCATTAGCCTTGCCACGGCTAACTCCGTGTTTTTTAAGGATAAATCACGTCCTATTTCTGAATTCTGGAACTGTATTAGACACCCAGTATTCCCGCTGTCAGCACGCAGGTGTACCTAACCCAGCACCACCCAGCACCCTCCATGGTGTGTAAGGATGGGACGCGGCAGTCTCCGCGAAGGTGAGTCAGGGTTTAGAGTGCTCTCGGGAGCTTCTCCACCCTGTGGCCTCAGGGGAGCACAGTGTCCGCCTTGCCTTCTCGGGCAAACGAAAAGCCTCTGCTTTTCACAGACCTTCGTCTGGAAGTACAATAAAATCTCGTTGTGTGTTTTGTTTGTTTTCAGCCTCCTCTCTTAAAACTCGTCTTTGCAGGACCGCATTGTATCCCACGTAGAGAAACGACCTAGGCTGGTGCTGCGAAGAGGACTGCAGCATGGTGGTAGCTGTGAATAATGGAGTCCCTGCACATACATAAGACTCAGGTGACAGTCTCTTCATGGGAAAGGTCGCAGTCTAAATAGAGAGTAGGGATGACGAGAATGTGGAAGTGGAGCAATGTGGGGTTTGGTTGTTTTTTTTTCAGTTTTCCTTTTTCCAGATGTTTCTCTTGCACAGACCATGTATGCCATACATGAGTGCTCTGCCCGTGCCTGGTGGGCATGGCAGGGACTTACGGACTTTCGTAGATTGGTCTTAACTGACACTTCAGCCAAACAACCGAATGTCTGGAAATTCCACTCCAAGGTCTTTATATCCTACTTGCACACAATTTGCAGGTGGAAAAAGAGGTAACAGTCAATTGAGCTCAGACATTTCGTAACCCACCAGAGGGAAGGGCTTAGCAGGTGCCTCAAGTAGGTGGCCCAACACTAGAGTGTCAGGAAGAGAAGAGTATCTGTGAAAAAATGTCAGTGCTGGTTGGACATCAATGATAATTATGTCATACTGCACCTTTCACTGTAGCTGAGGAAGTCACCTCCTAATGTCTTAGAGACAACAGCTTCTCAATGTGGAGTAGCACACAGTAAGTATGTTCTTTAGGTTACAGGTACTAAGTTGTTCCAGAATCCACAGTAGTGCTAATTCTAAATATATTGATGTAATGTTTCTTGTACAGACATGATTATTTGACATGATAGATTTTTTCCACATTTGAAAAAAGCCTAGATTTTAAAAATAATGATGTTTTTATCTTCTCAAGCATGTTGTCATACAGATTTTGAAATTATGCACCTTGCTTACTTATCCAAAGCTTCATGGTTCTGCATGAAAATCTGTGGTTTGAAATCATAAAAGAGGTCTGAAGGGAATATGTTATTAACGATACTGATCCATCCAGTTAGTTATAAATCTTTCCTTCTGCAATCCACCTTCTGGTTTCTCTGCTAGCATAGGGCTAGACAGAAGTGATTTTTTTTTTCTTTAATTAAAAAAAATCCACCAGTTTAATAGGCAGTGCCATAGCAAAAATCAGGTATTGAAATTTGAAAATTTGATTTTATGGGAAAATATCTCCCTGTTTTCATTATACACATTGGATTTCCTCTTGTGTTTTCCTGTAAGGAAAGGCTGTTTGGTGACTGCAAAATGAATAAGTTCATTAAACTGTAGAGGAAAAAAAAACAACAAACCAAACAAAAACCCAATGCCAAAAATTTATTCAGGCAAGAGATCTGACAGTGGTGGCGATTCTTAATGAAATGAATTAAACTTTTTTTTTTATTTACTTGTATTTTAAGTTAGCTCCTCTTTTGAAGGCATAAACTTTTTAAATGTGTATCAGTTAAGTATATTACATCACTAGTTTCTCAACTGGAAGACCGCCTCCGAAAGGAAAATTGAGTCAATCCCATTTTCTGAAGCTAAATGGGGTAATGTGACCTTATGTGAATCAGCTTTGGAAGAAATTCTCAAGAAGTACATTAAGTCTCTTACTCTGCATGAGATTTTATTTTCTTTGTAGGGCACTTCAAATAACGCTATGAATGGTGGATGTCTTGCATTTTTTCTTACTGTTATCTGTCTCTGACCGTTTAATTGAGGTTGGAACTGCCAGTATTTGACATACCTATGAAGATTGTCTTAACAAAGACCAGAACCTTCAAAGTTCAAAACAGCCCAGTCCTCAAATTACTAACAGACCACAGTGATATCTCTAAGGCACCCGGTGACTGAATACAAATTATGCTGTAATAGCAGTGTGATTGTGCTGAAGTAATTGAATTTGCCTGCATCTTTTCAATTTCTTGGCTGATTAATTGTGAGGCAGGGAGGAATGTTTCATTTGGGTGGGAGTTCTTTGGAGATCCAAATGAACAAACCCAAAAATACTTGTGGTCACTTTGACTCTGGAAGCGTTCTCACAATTGCAATTTCTATTCCCAGAATTAAAACCTCAATTGCTCTGTCACAACTGTCCTTGAGATTTTGTTAACACCAAGAGCAACTGAACATCACACCTACAGTGCACACCAAACAGGCTGTGTAACCAGATTATTTGACCTGTATCCAGCTTGATTACCAGGAAGTAGAGTAAACACCTTTTTCTCTGTTTGACAGCTTTTTTTCATAACGCATAACTTTGCATTTTATAAAAACCTCCATGCTGGGCTGGTCTGATGTCATTTAAAAGATAATTTATATCAGTGTATTTGCAGGAATTCGTGCCAGGAATTCTCTTTCACCCAAGCCCAGGCCAACAAACCATGAGCATGCATTGACAGAACTTTACAGGCACCAGTGCGCTCTGCTGGTGAAAAGGAGGGAGAGAAACTAATCAAATTGCACAAACATAGGAGACTATAGGCAATGCAAAGATGTCAATTATATTCAGGCTTCCTGCTGGTGTGGTTCATTTGATTTGTGCAGGTCTAATTCATGTTCGTAGTGAACTGGAGAGATGACTGGATAAAACTCAGCCAAATGGTTGATTCAACAGGATAACATTGCCTATGCTTCAGTATCCACTTAAGATGTGTTTAATTAAGTTGTAGATCCAGTAAGATATGTGTATTCTTTTGGTTTGAATGGAATGAGGGTTTCTTTTCTAGTCTATCCTAGTCAAAGACAAAATAAATATTTTCCCATCTATTTTTTCTTTAATAACATGGAGGAGCTTCATATTAGCCTTTCTCATTTAATGACACATGCACATCTTAGGAAATGTGTTCTGATGCTGTTGTTTCACTGAATACTATTCGCCACAATTGGCATGAGTGCCTTCTCTCTGGCATTTAAATTTATTGCTATTTCCAGTGTTGGCAGAATATGTAACTTGATTCTGAAGCTCTGATATAATTACATAAAAAAGCTGTATGGCTTCATGAATTCCAGACTGCAATCACGTAGCTGAAATAGAAGACAATGGAATGTAAATGTCTTCTGATTTTTTTATTTGTTGTATTTAATAACGTGAAATTATAATGGTGAAGGATGAACAGTCAGGAATTAAAAGGTAAAAGAACCCTCAAGAATACTTGCCATAAAACCCATCATGCACTTCTAGCCCCTAAAGAATTTTCCAGATACTGTGTTTTTATATACTTTTAAAAATAGTATTTAGGCTATTTTATAACCTTTTTGAATGTTACCAGTGTCTTTCTGAGCCTCCCTGGTTTGACTAATTGTCTGATACTGAATTTATGGAATTCACTAAAGCTTTATCATCTACTTAAATTAGATGCCTAATTTTAGAGGAGGGTAACATGAAATATAAATGAAAGGATTTTACTTTCCTGGAGTTATTTCTATGTGCCTTTACTGTATCTGCCTCCTTCCCAAAGACACTAGAAAAGGGCTGTTGTACTCAGAATATTGCCAAATTCAAGTAGAAAAACCCCATTCTCACCCTAATTCGTAATCGACGCTCATCACAGAATAATGGTGAACTACTGTAAAAGTGAACAGACCTCTTAAAGCTTGCCGGCATCATCCAGCATCATGGATGTCTGTTTCTTGTAAAAGAGGGCTTGGATACATTGGGTAATCTCAATTTCCTGAATCCTAGGGGGAGAAAGACTATCTTTCAAGCAACCAAAGCCCAAATTTATGTAGACTTTTAGGAGTTTGAATTAAATCCTGGATATGTATTGTCTGTAAATAAAAGAGAGGGTTAATAAGATGTGTTCACTGTGAGGAGAGTTGCTGAAGTAGCTTATACCACAGTGTTCTGTTACAGATAGTGCTCATTATGAAGTGAATCAGCTTGAAATTATGGCTGTGTTAATCAAAACTGTACCATCAATTTTCAGAATTTGTTCCATGCAATGTTGTCCTGGGTTCAGTTGGCGTAGAGTTAATTTCTTCCCAATATCTGGTACAGTTTTGGCTTCAGTCTGAGAACAATGTTGATAACACACCGATGTTTTAGTTGTTACTAAGTAATGCTTACCCTGATCAAGGAATTTTCAGTCTTATGGTCTGCCAGGAGCAGAAGAAGCTGGGAGGAGGCAGACAGGATACTTGACCCAAACTAGCCAAAGGGGTATTCCATACCACAGCATGTCACGTTTAGTATACAGGCTGAAGGGAGTTGGCCAGGAGTCATGGGTCGCTGCTTGGGGATAGGCTGGGCATTGTTCAGTTGTGATGCACAATACAGTTGTGTGGTGAGCAGCTGTATTGTGCATCACATGTCTTTCTTGGGTTTTATTATTTTTTTTTTTTAATTTTTTTTTT